TGGGCAGACTACTGACTCATCCTTGCTCATCCCCATTCTCTCATGGTGTGGTGACATCACAGGGGAAGAAGCAGCTCTTCTTGGCGTGCTCTGCATGCTGACAGCGTTTAGAGCCCCAAGGTAGCACCAACGGGAACCAGAAAACTTCAGAGAAAGGCAGGCTCTATCACCCAAGAACAGGCTCACTGCTGAGGTCGAGTTCCAGATGGTACCTGGTGACTACACGCTGGGAAGTACTCGGGAAACCTTAGCAGCGCAAAGTGGCTGCTATGGGATGAGCTCATTTCTTGCCCATTTATTCAAGAAGGAACACACTGTAACCCCTAGTCTCTTTGGAATTATTGATTTCCTGTGAGTTAAATATGACTACAGACAGAGTTTATGTTGGTTAAGGGGGAACTGAAGGATTTCTGGAAACATGACTGGGATGAGAAACAGCACATACCCTAAAACAGAGTCCCGTTGGTAGTTGGGTGGACAGGGCGTGTCGATGCACTGGTAGCGTCCTCTCATGTTGAAGCACATGCGATTCAGCCCACAGTGAACATTCTGCTCCAGACACTCATCAACATCTGGGGACAACACAAGAAACATGCAGCATCAGCACTTGCGATAAGAAAAGGGCACCACAGCAGGCCTTGTGGGTATCTAACCAGAACACAGATGACCAACTTCTCCCCATGAATGAACTCAGCTGTCATATGTGAGCGTCAACCACTGTCCCTGGTGTACTTATTAACCAGACTGCTTTCAGGATTCGTTTCTTTAACATACGTGAGGAGACATCAAAACACAAGAGTTATAGAAGTAGAAGGGCAGCTGTTATATTTGGAATATAGAGTGCATGTGAATATTTTGAATAGATGATGAACAAAGTAAAATTTGAAGAATATTTGTGCATATCTTTGTAAAATGAAGAATCTCTTTAAAATATGAGTGCTCCAGTTTGTGATAGCTAAAACTTGGAAACAGCCCAAATGCCCATCAACTGGAGACTGGAT